CCCAGGAAGGCAGCCGGGATGCCGAGCCCGTCCCGCTCCCGCGGGCTCACAGGGCCAGCTCGGCGCCGTTGGAGCGCAGCCCGTGCTCGTCGAAGCGGCGGCGAACGCTCCTCCTCAGCGCGTCGGCCCGGCGGTACGGCTGGTTCCGCAGATCTGCGGGGAGGCCATGGTCAGYGCTCCGGACAGACACACGGACAGACACACGGACACGCGCAGGGAAAGGCCCGCTGGAAGCCAGTCAAAGCAGCTTGCGGAGCGCGGGAGCGGGGAGCGGGACGGACGTGCCGCAACTACACCCAACAGCAGGTTAATACTGGTGGGATCGGGATGCCGGGGGACCCTGGGCTGGGGGAATGTCCCCTGACTGTCACCAAGGCCACATCACCCCAAAGCACGGTTTGCACACACTCCCTGAAACCTCAGAGCTGGAAAACATTTCCAGCTCACGGGAGCTGTGTGACCCATGGGTTCAGCCCCACCAGGATGGGTTCAGGATCCCTACATCCCACTGATCGTGGAGTAATGGAATCATTCAGCTTGGCCAGGACCTTCAGATCAAAAAGAGGTGCCCTGGCAAAAGCAGCTGGCACTGGGCTGGGATTGTCCAGCTGCCATCCCACCCCACGGCTAGAACAAGGCTGCATCAGCCAGAGGGGAGAGCTGGGGAGGGAACACTGGGGATGGGATGGGATAGGGGATAAGATTGGGGATGGGATGGAAGAGGGAGAGGTGATGGATGTGATGATGGAAGCCCATTACAGGTGGCACCTGTGCTGTCACCTACAACAGAACAAGCACCAAAGACAATTCCAGGTTCAAATATTTCTCTCCTAGCCAATAAATTGTGTTGGACTGAGCAAATCCCTCCAATTTCCTGGATAACTGGTGATGGGGTTACAAAAAACTCCCAAACTTCTTGGCTCTCCCCTCTCCTCACCTGGAGTTGGAGATTGTTCACCTCATGCAGAGCCCCCCAACTGTGGGGCTGTGACACTTGGGGACAAAACTATTTTGGGCTGGACTTGAAGAGAAATGGCCAAACCAGAGTGTGAAGGTGGTCAGAAACCACCAATATCTGGGGACCAGAGTATTTTGGGCTCAGCTGGAACTAAAATGGCCAAAATGAAGTGGGAAGGTGGTCAGCAACCACCAACACCTGGGACAAAACTGTTTTGGGCTTAACTTGAAAAGAAGTGGCCAAAACAGTGGGATGATGGTCACCATCCCATGGATTCCCTGCTCCTCCAGGGGTGAAAATCAAGGATTTGGGGTCCCCACTGGCCTCGAGGTCTCACCAGTATTAGCTCAGCCACATCTACCACCAGCTGCCTGGCACAGAGAGAGAGGAGGAAGCCAAGTAAAAAGTGATGCTTGCCAGCTCTGGGAATCCTCCACCACGGCTGTGCTAGAAGAAATCCTTACCCTCGAGTGAACATTGGGAAATTTAGTGATATTATTCTTCTTTAGGGCTAAACAGAAAAAAAAAAACAAAACAAAAAAAACAAACAAAAACAAAACAGAACACAAAAAAATGATGGTTAAGTAAAAAAATGGGATGGAGAATGAAGAGCAAGTCAAGTCAGTGTTCAAACCTCCCAGGCAGAAAGCACGGAGCGAGAGGGGTTAGGCAGGGTGGGAGGGACAGGAGGGACAGAGGGACAGGAGGCCTCTCCCAGCCCCGTTCCAAGCTGCTTTGAAGGTTGGCTCCAGGAAGAGAACGCAGCAGAGATCCCGAGAGCACAGAACTGTGATAAGGTTAGTGATGGATTATCATCAGCACTGATGGAATGACACAGAACAGCACAGGGACACTGCTTAGGCCCGGTCCTTAGCGAGGACAGCAGTGCCAGGGCCGTGCTGGGTTAGGGACACCCTCGGCACACGATGGGAATGGCTCAATTCCATGGCAGCCTTCCCTCGGGCTCTGTATTCCCAGGATTCCAGGATTCCCAGCCCCGCTCCCCTCTGCCCCTCTCCACACACCCAGCCCAGGCTCGGTGAGAATCCCCAATTCCACAGGGTAATGCTGCCATGGAACTGACAGGGAATGAAATGGTTAAACACGGCTGTGACCACACACGGACAGGCTCCACCCCATGCTCCAAACATGCAGGTGCTGCTCAGGAACTCCAAACCACCCCACTGTTATCCCAAGGTCCGTGCAGCCCAAACTCTGCTCTGGCGTGCAGCCGAGGTGCCACATGCAGGGGACACCGAGGGGACACGGACAAGGCACGTGAGCTGTCACTGCTGGGGCTCCTCAGTGCTGCAGCTGCAGGAGACTCATCCCAGTGACTGCCACCAGCATGGAATGGGATCCATGGGATGGGATGAGATGGGATCCATGGGAGAGGATGGGATGGGATCCATGGGAGAGGATGGGATGGGATGAGATCCATGGGATGGGATCCATGGGAGGGGATCCAGGGGATGGGATGGGATGGGATAGGATGAGATCCATGGGGTGGGATGGGATGGGATGAGATGGGATGGGATCCATGGGATGAGATGGGATGGGATCCATGGGATGGGATGGAATCCATGGGATGGGATGGAATCCATGGGATGGGATGGGACCCATGGGATGAGATGGGATGGGATCCATGGGATCCATGAGATGGGATCCATGGAATGGGATCCATGGAATGGGGAGAACATGCAACAGTGGGGACACCAGGACAATGTGAGGAGGACACTGGACACCACTGCACACTGGACAGTCACAGATTGCTGAGAGTCACACAGAGAAAGAGGCGAGAGCCTACAGCGACCTTCCTGGCTTCTAAGAGCGGCAGGTGGGAAAGAGGGAGAGTTTAGTAATGGAATTCCTCGGGGACAACGGGGTCGCAGAAGAACCGAGAGCCGCGCTTGGCGCTCCGGGCGGTGAAGGGCACCGTCTTCAGCACTGCATGGGAACAACAACAGCCACACACAAAGCACCGTCAGCACAGCCCTGGGGACACCGGGACACGCTCCAGGAGCTGCTCCAGCACAGGGACAGCTCAGGGCTCCACAGGGACAC